CAAAAAAAAAAAAAAAAAAAAAAAAAAACATAAAAGAAATCTGTAAAAAGACTACGCTAAAAAAACGAGGAACAAGTTGCAGCTTAAATAAAGAAAGTTGAAAAAGGATAATAGACAAAACAAAATATAAAAATTTCTCTTTTGTTAATTCAGAAAACTTTCACATTCCAAAATTTCAATTATCTGTACTTTTTAAACTTCTTTTTTCTTATATAGCTAACAGTTTCAGCGGAACTGTATTCATCAAACCGAATGGTTCCTGCTAAAAGCTGTTGTTTGAAACCAACAGTAATGTACAATTTTACTAACAATCTCAGTTGAAAGCAAATAATGGCAAATATTAAAACAACAAAGAGAAAGGAAAAAAAGAGAAGACAGAACCTTATAATGATCATATCAACTTTACTTAGCCAAATTTCCGAAGTTATTCTACAGTTACAAACTGTTTCCCTGTCTCGTCTCCAAATGATAATCAGTCTTCTTTACTGATAATGCTATAAATTTACTGTCTTTTTTTTCAAGACAAATAACTTTTAACAGACAAAAAATGGAAGATTTCTTCATCTATCTGTTTTGTTTAATTTTTTTTGCACCAAAATATCGATGCTATTATAAGCTAAAGCAAATAAAAAAAGGAAAAAAAACTATTTCTAGACATATTTGAAGCACAATAAACAGTAGACTGATAACGTTTTCTAAAGTTGGTTGAAATTATTAGCTGTGGACAAGTTGAATAAGCATGGATAAGTGTTAGATCAGTAGTTCTGCGCTCATTACCGTTGCCAGTTTCTTAGTCTTAAATTTTCAGCCAACTAGACAATTGCTTAAATCTTACTTGCACACTAATCGTTAAAACGTGATTAGTAAAAGATGTCTGCCGGAATCTTGGTCTGTAGCTTTTTTTTTCACAGAACAAATTACTGAATATCAAAGTCCAGAAAGCTAATATATATTCCGTCTTTCTCTTTTTTTGCTTCTTGGATAAACTGCAAAAGAAATATGTTGAAAAGATAATTGAGAAGACTGTTAAAAATTAGTGAATAAAAGAAGAAAAAAGCTTT